TGCTGGCTTATTTGCGCGGACTCTGATTGCCCTGAGGTACTTCAAATGTAAGCCTAGTCAATGAGTGTCGCCTGGTTATTCAATTGTAGAGGATGTCACAGTCAAATTCAATCCACTCAGCAACCACAAAGACCGATTTTCCAGCAGTGTTCAGGAGTAGAAACCTTGGTTCATTTGTTTCTTCTCCCTCTCGTTCTCCTCCAATTGAATCCATTCCAGACATCACATAACTTTTTCCAGGGATTGAACCTGGGACCTTGCGTGTCTGTGTGACTCCCTTACGCCCTGGGCAATGACATTACCAGTTGCATTACCTGTCGTAGTTTTGACAGGCTGCGTAGACCAGTAACTGAGCTATAGAAGAATGGGTTGGAAATGGATAATTTTATTGAGGTTTAAATCACACAAAGCATTTTTCAGCAAAGTGGTTCTGCATTGAGTTTTAACAATAGTGAAACAATAGAATTCACAACATCACTGACAAATGACCACAGAGCGAATCCAGTTTGATGCCTATTCAAATGTATTAATTGGATTTTAGCCAGTCAGAGAAGGGGCCTTTGATTGATGGGAAGCCCTCACACAATAAATACAAAATGTTGCTGAACCTGTCAGCGTTACATGTTAATTGTACAGACAGATTACTGTGTGTGTGTTTGTGTGGGGGTGGGCGTGGTGGGGGGGGGGGGGGGCGGCGGTGGGGGGAATAATCTTATTCAACGATTGCCAAAATGATGCTGAACTAAAATTCGGGAGAAAGCGATCATTCTGTGCGAGTGAGAACTGTTCTGATGGACAGAGAGGAGGTGGAGGTTCTGTGCTCCCGTTTCCTAGGCAATGGTTTAGAAATGTTTTAAGGCCTTTTGCAGTTGGTTGTTGTGTTGAAGCTGGACCCTGGGAGGGAGGCAGCCCTTGTGCAGTGAATCTGGGAAGCTCAACCATTACCAAAGGGGTTTATTTTCATCGGTTCCTTTTTTTTTTGGCAGCCCTATTTCACCTGCAGTGTGAGCTTTCTCAGACAGCTGTGGATACATTAGTGCAGACCACACAGAATCTCTGCTCCTGACCCCATCTTTCATCGGACTAACCATCAGGAGAAATGTTAACACAAACATCTACATCTACTGTTGCTTCACACGGTCTCGCCCAGGAAGCACAAACCAATGGCTTCTACCATCAAAATAGCCATTAGCACCGCACAATGTTAACATAATGCTTTCCTGCACAGAATATCACTCAACAAAACCACCTCACTTGATTCTACAGAGATTGGAGGCATCACAGCTGCCGGCAGCCACGGTGACTGCTCGCACAGACCTGTGATTTACTCCTTTTACAACAAATTATTAATAGTCAGTGGCTGTTTTATTAAATGATTATTGTGATGGGAATCGGTGGTTTACAGGAATAAACTACTCTAAGTCAACCCTGTGGAACTTGTCACTCAGCTGGGCACTGCACCGGGTAAATTATCATTTTGTTGTGCTCACTATTCATACCCCGTGATGACATTTTTAACTCAAAATGCAAGTGGAAATGTCTCCCAATAAAGAAGGGTAAAATCAGGTTGTGTTTGTCATTGACCTATCAGCCTATTTCAGGAGAGTTAGCATCCTGAGCTGCAAACCAGGAAAATATTTGCCAGTATCCCTGCCCCACCTAATCGGCATTCAGTGGAAAACATTCATACACACGGCACAGACTAGTTGGGCCGAATGCTTGTGTGAAGACAAGCTTGTCTGGGATGTGATGCTGCCAGGGTTGAATAGCCTGTTAGCAATTCCTGTTTTATACATGCAGAATGTCCATGTGGGACATTGTCATGGTCACTGCTGCTGGTGACCATAGCCTGCCTGGCATGATTTCCCAACTTCAGCAAAAGCAAAGGAGAGAGCTGAGCAGACAGTTAGCAAACTCATCCTGTGAGTAGGATACAGCGGTAGGATGTGTCCTCCTGTGCAAGAGGATGGCAGAGGATTAAAAGAAATGCACCATTGATATTTGTTACCACAATGAATATTTCCTTTTCTGCAAATGGTAATGAGGTTGTTTGGAGCATTCACCTGAGGAGCAGGGTTTTGAATTGGAGATAATTAAATGCTCGCGGAGTTAATCGAGGGCTTGCCAAGGTTAACTGGAATAATTGGAGGCACAGGTGGTGCGGCATTAGTGGCAGAAACGGATGCAGGTAATTCGGGAGAACGTCTGTGTCAGATGTAGCCATTGGACCATTTATGCAGCACAGTGTTTGTTCGTGATTTCATACCAGAGAAGGTATTAAAGCGTGGCACAGAGCATCACCTTTTAGAGTAAGGTTTGAGAAGCTTGCGGATAAAATAATAAACACAGCTTATAAAGGTTGTAGAAGCCCAGACAGTACATGTGGTGTTTTATTTTATCACATTGAGCTGATGGTGTTTTATAGTTGTGTTGAAACCTTAAGACGGAAATGCTATGTGAGCCATGTTAAACCTGATACACAGCAATTGTTCGGTGGGAAGGCCTAATTCTTACTCTTAATTGTGCCTGTGTCCTGTGTCACAGGATTAGCAAGTTGAGATCTATTAGAGAATGCACTGACTTTGATCAGAGCCCCAAGAGATAACTGAACGCCTCACAGGTATGAATAGGAAACCACATGATGACCGTTCCAAGTCACAAGTGTAATAAGTCACAGTGGATCTAATGATGTTCGGTTAATGCTCATTAGCTGCGGTGCTGGTATTAAATGCACCTGCCTAGCCAGTTACCTTTTATTTTGCAGGTTTAGTAACTTCTTTTAAATCTTCAGAGAGCAGAGTGAAATATCAAAGCCTTAATAATAGAATTGTCCATAAATATACACAGCCTGAACTGAGAATCTGCTGCCAGTGTAGTGCTGTGCGTTGCCGTCAGTAATCACTGCCTACCTTTGTTTGTACTCCTCCAACCCTGCACACTGTCCTGCTGTGTTTCCTTACTCCACATGCCTCTGTTTACCTAGCACGTAAGTAGGAATCCAGTTGTTAGTTGATTGGTGGATCGCTTTTCTGGGGCTAATAATCCCTTTAAAAAATAAATATAAAAAATAAGAATTTGGTCACTCAATTCACGACTGGTTGTGGGACACTGCTGTGCACAATTGGCTGCCATGTTTCGCCTACAAATATACAATCAATTTCTAGTATATTCTGTGAAGCACTTTGAGACGTCTCGAAGACATGAACAGACGTCAACAAAGTTGAGTCCACTGCATCTCATTTTCCGACCAAGTTTGATTCAAATTTTCAAGACTGAAGTGGATAGATGTTTGTTTGGTCAGGGTATCAAGGGATATAGGGTAAGGGCAGGTAATTGGAGTTGAGGTACAGATCGACCATAATCTTATAGAATGGCAAAACAGGCTCAAGAGGCTGAATGGCCTCCTCCTGTTCCTATATCTTGGACTCGGTCACCGATCAACTTTGATTCCGGTTTCTCTGTCACAATGTGTTTGCCAATTGATTTCCCAATGGCCGGGTCAATCTCATGGTTCAATAGCTCTTATTTGTTTATCTTACTGGCATGTTTTATAAGGTCGATTTTTTTTCATTCTGAGCAGAACTTTAGTTGGATTTTGAAGACCCTCAAAACATTTAGATGGGCAAAAATCAATTCTAGACACTGGCTTTCTGGGTCAGCATAGCTGTGTGACTTGGGGCTTGTAGATTTCCTTTTCAGTGGCTGGTGCAGTGAGTGTTTGGTTGTGTTTTCTGGGTTGTTGATGAGAATGTGGACATTTCTTACCTGCGTTAATTGTGTCACTTGGCTCTGTTGGTAGAACTCGCCTCTGAGTCAGAAAGCTGTAGATTCAAGACTCATATCAGATCCTTGAGCTCACGGTCTCGGCTAACACAACAGTGTGGTTGGTAATGGAAAAGTGCTGGTTTATCTGATGTCCTGCCCTTTGGATGAGACATTAAATCGAGGTCTCGTCTGGCTGTTTTTAGGTTGATGTTGAAAAAAAATCTCCTGACACTGTTAAAAGAGAAGGAAATTTCTCTCTGTATCCTGTCTGACAATCCAGCAGATTAATCTTCTATTGATTCAGTAATCAATGTTCTATTGCAACTATTCACTGAGAGCAGTCACATCAGTGTGAGGCAAGCGTTTACACTAACACTAGGCTGCAGGATTACTGAATGTACAGCATTCAGCTTTGATCTTTTGTCATTTATACCAACATGAAGAACCACCGGTTCGTTCACTTCATTGATGTTGCCTGTAACTGTAGATTGCTTCTGTACCTTTTCCCCAAGAGAAGGAAAGGGCCTGCTAACTTTGATTTACTCCCATAAGAGGCCACTTCATCCATTTCACATGCGGTGGTCTTTCTTTCATTCAGCAGCTAACTTCAGTTTGTAGTACAAAACTGTAATCACTACTGTCGGAAGCTGGGATGATTGCGTTGGGAATATAAATGAAATGAAAGGTGCTCACTCTCCATAGTGATTCTAACTACACTAGGAGGGAAGTTGCAGAATACGTAGATGGTGAATCAGCCCATATCAGACCTATGTAAAGGTAGACCTATTAAATAGTTGTATAAATATTGCTGGTACAAATGTTAACCCTTATTGAGTCAATCCCTTTAAGCGTTGTGTTTTTCAAATGATTAATTTTGAAAACAACTGAAAACAATTGAAAAATACAGTGATATTTATTGGTATCAAGTTGCCTGGAATGTACCAACCTGTGTACATGTCCTGTATAATTGTAGAAGACTCAGGAAGGGGATTGATGATGGTGTGGGTTTTGGCAGGACTGACTGTAGCTCTGGAATTACAATGAAGAGCTCATTTGGGTGATTTAGAAAGAGTGCAGCCGTCTGTATTTTAGCTCACATAGCTCACATTTCTCTTTGAACAAAGAGCATTACATTACCTCGTTTCAAAGTGCTCCTGAGCCTCTGTAGAATTGTGAATTATTTGAGTTGGTTCAGTGACCTGATTCCTTTTTTCCTCTTATTTCCAAATGTGTAGTTATCAACACTAAAGAACAGACTAAAGAAAGTGTCAACAACCACAGGCAATGGAGTCGCCCGGGCGTTTTTGAAGACTCAAGCGATGTTGTTTGGCAGCTACAGAAATGCTCTGAAGATTGAACCTGTAAGTGGAGCCTGATTGTTGCATACAAACCGCTGTACAAAAGACACACTGGTTATGGGGTGTGACATATTTAACACTAAAGACAGTTCATTCGCAACACTAAGGATTCAGTGTGTACAGTATTTTCCTAAATCCTCCAGTATTTTCCATGGCCTGATATTTACACACAGGATACGCACGTGTAAAATTTGACTTTGATGAAGAAATGTGGCTTTATTCTGGTTATTTATTCTCCTTGATGATATTCAATGGAGAATTATTGTTATAAATTTAAGTGAGCAAAAATGACAGTATCAATGTACATCAGCAGTGAAGCTATTTACTTTGTGACATACAATTACATGTCTTAAAGACTTGTAGTAGATTTTTTTAATGTCACTTTTTAATTTTCCCTTTAAGGTGCCAATCACTAACTTATAATAATAGTCCTTACATTTGATACACCACCTTATTACATCTTCGAGACGTCTCAAAATGCTTCACAGAATATACTATAAAGTGAAGCAACTGTGTATTTTGTGGGCAAAATCTTATATAGCCAGTGGGTGAGGGGGTGCTTTGACATGTACTTATCACAGTACATTTTCCTATCAGTTATATGAATCAATGTCATAAACAATTAGCAGTGTGTGTAAATAGATTGATTTCAATTATGTTCCTTTATGTATTCGATGCTCATTGTCAGATCAGCTCTGTAAATACAAGTTAAGATAGTGAAAGGATGCCATTATGTATCATGTCATTAGGAGTCCCGTGATGAGCAGCAAATCTTATTGATTTTATTCTATCCTTGAATTATAACGTATGTGAATTTACACTACTAACACCTCTGTACTTAACAGCTTCTTTGAATGAAATGGCTGCTGGTCTTCATGAAATAAGTTAAAGAACTTTGTAAGGAATACTGCAAACTTTATCCCATTATTATTTCATAATCGAAATATCTCACTTATTTTCCAATCTTGTGTGCAGTTTATGTTCCTCTGGTTTTATTGCATTGAATGCAAACTCCCCTAAAAAAAGCTGCCTCGGAGTTTAATAAATGCTATGACTTGTATGAATTGAGATACTGTTTTGTGAGTGTACAGACCTGAATAGTTTCTAAACTAGTGAAGTCTTGTTATCCCTCAGTAAATGAATTGCCTTGTCTTTTTTTAATCATACCGAAGAAAGAATTGATTCTTAAGATTTTGTGCCACAATGGACCGTAGGAAGCTGTCTATGTATGCAACCATCAACACTCTTTATCCTTCAATGAGATTAAAATCCTTTGTAAGATTTTCTCCAACCTTGAACGTTGTTGTTCTATAATAAGGCTATGGATTGCCTTCAACAGTGAGCAGGCTGGAGTCTATCTGATGTGGATATCCTGCAACATTTTAGCAGCAAGCCCGATGAGTTTGCTCAAGGCATTGGATTCCCTGAAGGAGCTGTAGAAACGATACATTGAATACCAAAACATATAGCCAATATGTTGTATTATATATGTATATATATAGTTTTTTATATAGTTATATATAATTTTAGCCAAATGAGCTTTTCTGACTAGATCATCAGATACAATACAAAATTACATTTGTATAGCGCCTTTTATGTTGGGAGGATGTCCCAAGGCGCTGGACAGTCGGGGAGTTGGACCGGAGTGGTGGGGGGAGTTGGGATCAGGAAGGGTGGAGGGCAGGGAGGGTGGCCGAAGCACGGTCGAACAGGAGGGTCTTGATAGGCGCCTTGAAGTAGATAAGAGAGGGAGCGAGGCAAAGGGAATGTGGGATGGAGTTCCAAAGGCTGGAGGCAGAGAGGCTGAAGGCCTGACCGCTGATGGTGGGGGGTGTGGGTGGGGGATGTGGAGGAGGCTGGAGCCTGCTGAGCAGAGGGAGTGGACAGGTTGATTTGGGGAATCATCCATTAGGCACCATTCTGGCAAAGCAGAAGCTCGTACCTTTGTTGCATTTTTACTTACGTGGTGTGTATTTATGTATGACTGCAGTAAGTTCTGAATTTTTTGTCTCGAGTATTTAGTAGCTCAGAGGTCTACAGTGGTGTTAATCTTGGTACTTCAAGATCCTTGAAATCCTCACTCTCGTGTTCAAATCCATTCACTCCCTGGCACCTCCCTTCCTCTCCGACCTCCTCACTCCCCAATCCACCACCTGGAGCCTCCGCTCGACTGGCACCGGCTCCTGCTCGATCCACACACCCTCTACCCCACCCTTGGAGGTCTTACTTTCAGCTACTACACCCCAAAACTCTGGAACATTCTCCCTCTCCCTTGCCCCATCTCTCCCCTCTTTCAAGTCCCACCTGAAGTCTTTCCTGTTCGACCGTGCTTAAGGCCACCTACCTCCTCCCCCTCCTCCTGACTCAGAGTCAGACTCCGCCACTGTTAAGCCTCTGAGACGCTGCCCTGTGTGGAGGGTGCTATATAAGTGCAAGTTGTTGTTGCTTTTGTTGTACTTCAGGAGACTGCACAACCTGTTGAGTAGAAACATTATCAATACTGTACGTTTGCACCAGGCAAAGCACATAACTCACAACTACAGGAACAACCCTTGTGCTGAAGCTGCTGAGATTTTTTTGTCTATTTTCTCCACAAGTCTGAAGTATAATTCAGAATTAATTGATGTCTTCAAAATGTTTCAAAATATGAAAATGCTGTTTGCGAGTCTGTTTAGTGATTGAGGAGTATTCTGGCTTGTGCCTTAATAACACAAACCGTAATGCGGAAAGTTCGTCTGCTGAATAAAGATTCAAATCCAAAGCTACAGGACTGACTAATTGCACTGACATTTGCAGTTCTGTTGGTTCAGTTTTTCTCATCTTATTCCAGTGTTTTGAGAACACAATTTTAAATCCCGCTGTTTTAATGCTTTATTCGTGGCACATTTTTGTTGCCATTGCTCACTTTTCTAGTGTGTTGTGTTGTTTTTAACGCCGCATTATCAAGAGAGCAGGAAAATATCCTGTTAGCACCGTCCTCAACTGGGATGTACACGGCCTGAAGGTTATTGATGAAAGATGTATCTTCATTCCTTGTCAAAGGCTGTTAGTGGAGAATGCTTTCCCACCTTGGTAACACTCTTGGCTGTTGGGAACATTTCAGTTTTGACTCATACCTGTTCTTCATTCCGTTTATTGAAATTGTGTGTAAGGATACATTCTATTATCATAAACCATCATGTCTTAAACCAGCAGTTTTGACAACCTGACATAACCTATTGTGTCATTGACTGTGTATGTCTGACATCTTAATGCATCTTTGTTTTTTTCCTTGGGCAAATGTTTGCTAATGGCAAACTAGGTCTGAAGTAACGGACCCTGATTTTATTCACATTTCTAATGCAATAATCCATTTATTTAAATATAGACAAAAAGTGCAGGTGTTTTAAATTGTCCCGCACCAATGTTCTTTTTTCTCTGCAAACCTTGAATTTGAGCACAGCCAGATTATTTTAAGCGGGGGGAGTGGGATTGATTTGGATAGCTCTTTTAAAAGAGACACAGACATGATGGGCCGAATGGCCTCCTTCTGTGCTGTATAATTCTATGATTCTATAATCATTTTATTTAAAATCTATATTCAAATTTTCCTCAGTTGAAAAGTTCCAATTTGGCTGGTTTTATACCAGGGCAATGAATCAGTGATTCAAACAATCAATCAATTAATCAATCAATCAATAGTTTCTGCTGCACATAACCCTTTGTTCTCCCATGGACATCCCCACACAGACTTTGCAGGACTGACATCTAGTGGCCCTAGTTACATTACAGCCAGTTAGTTTACAAGAGTTAGATTTTTCCACAGTTTTTAGTTAACATAGTGGTAGCATTATGTATTCCTGGTTGTGTTCACTTAATAACTAGACCAATGGTTCATGTACCTCATTTCATTCCTAACCTTATAGCTGGTGCCAGGGAGAGGGTGGAAGTACACAGCAAGCCAACGTTAGGTCTTGGGTGTGTGGGGGAGGTGAGCAGAGGTGTAGGAGAAGGGACATTAATAATGAAGCTTATACCCGGGTGGAATTTCTACTCAATATTATATGAATATGTTTAGAACTCAGCTTTCAAATGTTAATACATTTCTTATTTTGTGACACCCTCTTTGAAGTACAGTATTGCAGTGTATTCTGATATTTCGGGTGATTTGCATCTTCCAGTTTGAGGATCTTACTGGTGTTGATCCTCAGCAGCTCAGTCAGTGAACCGTCAAACCGTGTGACTTGGCATTCACTCACCTGTGCTGTGTGGGTGCATCGGCAGTTCCTCATTCTGCCACTGGGTGGAGCACTATACAATGCTGAGAAGGGGCAAATACCATCTGTGCCAGTCATACAGCAATGTTCCTGCTGGCACCGCCGGGCTCAGTCAGCACTCTCACCTCTGAGTCAGATGGTTGTGGGTTCAAGGACCATATCAGGGACTTTGAGCTCACAGTCTAGGCTGACAGACACTCCAGTGCAGTGCTCAGGGTGCACTGCATTGTTGGAGGTCCGTGCATTGGGTAGGACATTACACAGAGGTTCTGCACTATTTGAAAATGGAGCTTCTCTGGTCGAACCAGAGGATAGCTTAACAAATTCAATATTAAACAGACCCTCTTTCTCTTTACCATCACACTGTCTTTCAGCTGTAAGTAAAGTAAATCCACCAACACTAACAAATCCATGCGAGTGAAAACTTGTGTGACCGCAATGTTCAAATTAAAAGAAAGAATAATTGCCTTCAGTAAGCCAAGCTACATTGTGAGTTTATGAATAAACTGTAACCTAGAAGCTATCAAATGCAAGGATTATTATTATGTATATCTAGCCTGCAAATTATCACACGTGGGAAGAAATAAATTCTAGAATTTCAACAATTTAATATCCACAGCGTGAATTTTAATTAATTATTGTTGTACAATGGCTCAAAAGTTGCATCGTGCATTTCTGATCTTACGGGAGGGAACAAAAGTGTGAAATTGCGCTGCGGAAAACAGCCCTTTAAAAATCAACCTTTAG